AATAATAATAATAATAATAATAATAATAATAATAATAATAATAATTTTTTATTTTGATGCATGTGTTGTGCTCGACTGGTTGTTTGTTTGTTTGCTTGCTTGCTTCCTCGCTCGACTGTTTGTTTGTTTGTTTGTTCATCCTATCGATGACCGAATAATATGGCCACGATTACGATCGAATTAATGAGCAATCATCGGTAGACTCATTCAAAATGTAATTAAAAACCATTTTTTGGTTGTTATCAAACAATTTTGTTGTTGTTGTTGTCGTTGTCGTTTGTTTGCGTTCGAGAAAGAAAGAAAAAATAGAAAAAAAAAGAGCGAGTTTGAAATTTTCAAGGTTTGCTGCTCATTGCGCAGATCCTTGCGGCATACATTTTAACGAGAGAGAGAGAGAGAGAGAGAGAGAGAGAGATATGGGATTTTCAAAGTGCCATTTTTCGCGTGCGTGAGTGCGTAGATGTGTGCAAGAGAGAGAGAGAGATGCGATTGTTGTCGACGAGTAGTAATGAAGTAAAATAAATTTATGAGGTTTTTTTTTTTTCCTTCATTTTCATTTTCATTTTCTTCATTTTCTTCATTTTTTTTTTTTTTCAAGACGAGTCAAGGTTTTCAATTCTCGATGTCCTTGCTTGATAATGATGATCGCTTTAGATTATTATTATTATTATTATTAATATTATTTTTCAAAACGAATTTTTTTTCTTTTTAAATAAAACGTTATTATTTTTATTATTATTCGATTTGCCCGTAAGTTGTCGAAAGCTGTCGATGGGTACAAAAATTGAGATCAATATAGACGAGAATCGATACCAGAATCAAATGTAGGTACGTCGGTGTAGGTTGTTTGAATTGAAAAGGAAAGGAAAGGAACGTTTTTGAAAACCTGACCTTGAAGAAGAAGAAGAAGAAAAAATGTTGAAACCTGGCGGTAATGACGACGATGATGATGATAATGGTGTTGGTGGTGGTGGTGGTGGTCGTGGTATTAGGGCGATTGATAGAACGAACGAAGAAGTCACGTTGATAATGACCCAGTTAAAAAAGAAAACAAGGACTGCGACCAGTTTAATATATCGCAAATGCAGGTGTGCTGCCAACGTTTTCACGATTATATCATTATCACGAGAATCATCACCTTGATATTGATACCCTTATCTCTCTCTCTCTCTCTCTCTCTTAAGTAAAAGTTCACGTGAGGGAAAAAAGAGGAAAACGTGTAACGTAGTCGCGCACGTTAAAAAAAAAAGAAAAGAACTTTAAAGCTCTTTGGAATATTTTAACGGGAAAAAAAGAACCGGAAGTGAATGAATGAAAGGGTAGGGTAGGGTAGGGGAGGGAGAGTAGGGTGGGGGAAGTGAAAGAAGGAAACCAATCATTGCAGTGATGATGAAAAAAAAAAAAGTTATTGAATTTTATTCGTGCCTTTTCTAATAGGTGAAAATTTGAAAAAGGCATTTTTCTTTTTCTTTTCTTTCTTTCTCTCTCTCTCTTTCTTTTACGTCTTTTAGTTGGGTGGATTCGGTTTTGTAGGTAAAAAGAAAAACTGACTTTCGGAAAAACTTTTTCGAAATTCTTCTTTTGGAAATAAATTGTAAATCGTTTTCGAAGGAAAGGCATGAAATTCTTTTCGTTCGTAACCGATAATATTAACCTATCGATTGAACGGAACTTCCGGAAAAACGAGACAAACAAAAATATTAAATTAAAATTTTTTAAAATATTTTCCTGTCGTTGTTAGCGTTGTTGTTGTTGTTGTATTATGTAATTTTGCGTCAATGAAAAACTATGAAGAAGAAAAAGGAGGAGGAAAATGGACGTGTAATTAGACGAAAGGATAAATCCATGCGAACGGATTTCAAATTTTTTTTTGATTTCTTTTTTATTCGATACGGTTCGATTAATTTTTTTAAATCGTTCATCATATTTTCGATTTCTTAACAATTTGATTTCCTGTTTTCGGTCGGAAGAAAATTCAAAAAAAAAAAAAAGCGGGAAAATAACAAAATTAAAAAAATTAAAAATTTTAATTTATTTTATTTTATTTTATTTTATTTTTAAAAACGGAGATAAAGAAGAAGGGTGGGTAGAAGAGGAAGGGAGAGAGAGAGGAGAGGAGGTAAAGAAAAGAGTTTTCAAGGTTTTAAAATGTAATTTTATTTATTTATCGTTTGCGCTACTTGGAAAATATTAAAATGCCCACAATTTCCATGGAAAAGTAAAACAAGAAGAAGAAGAAGAAACTAAAAAGCGAATAATTAAATTAATTTGTTTATTGAAACGTTCGATGTTCGATATTAATAATAATAATAATAATAATAATGTTGATGACGATGATGATGATGATAATGATGATTACAATGAGTTAGAGTAATTACGAATTCTATTAGCAAAAAATGTATAAATCTACACCACGCGAGTGGGAATGCAACGAAAACAATGCGACGACGACGACGCGTACAAGGTGAAAATATTCAGGGCCGAAATATTTATTATTATTATTATTATTAATATCGTCGTTAGGTATTATTATTATTATTATTATTGTTATTGCCATAAAAGGAAATTTAAGAAAATGTTTGTTTAAAAAAAAAATTAAAAACGTTTGTTTGTTATAATACAAGGCAAGGAGGGATTTTTAATTTTTCTCTTTCTCTTTCTCTCTTTTCTTATTTATCTATCTATCTGTCTTTCTCTTTCATTTACTCGAAATATAACGAACCGAAGAGAAAACGGGGAAATCTCGTCGATCGATCGATCGAATTGATGATGTTTTCTTTAAAAACCGTTCACCGCCTTCTCTGACACCATCATCATCACCATCGCCACTGCCACCAAGCTCGCATTTAAATATGATTAAACGTAAAACAATTTTTATGAAGATGATGTTGGTGGTGGCTGTGGTGATGGTGACGGTGGTGGCGGTGGCGGTAGCGACGGTAAATAACTTAATTGTGCCAATGATTGTGATTGGCAATGATACAAAAAAGATTTTTTCTTTTTTTTTTTTGTTTGTTTTTATTGTTTTTTTTGCTGTTTGTTTTGTTTTCTTTTTTTGCTTTCTCGTTTTCCGCGTCGAGTCGCACAATCTTTTCTTTTTTTTCTGTTTTCTCCCCTTCTCCTTTCCTTCCTTTCTTTCCTCTCTCCTCGGTCGTTTTTCCATTTTTTATTTTATTTATTTAAATATTTTTTTTCTTTTTTTTTTTTTTTTTTACCTTAAACTCGTTTGTTTTATTTTATTAGAGTTTTTCCTTTTCTTCTGCTTGAGATTTTTTATTTAAAAGTTTGTTTGTTTGTTTTCTTGTTTTTGTTTTTTTTCCTTTTCCTCTTTCTCTCCCTTTCCTCCCCATTTTTTTTTTCTATTTTCAATCGGAAAAAATTTACAAAAAAAAATGGAATTTTAAAGGGCCGCGCACGTGCTCACCCACAGCCCCCAACCGTTCGACGAAAACTCTTAAAATCCTTTTATCGTTTCGTGTAGTCATGATAATAATAATAATAATAATAATAATATTTTTTTTTTTAATGACGCGTCGAATTTAAAAGGGGTTGTCGTCGTAGTCATTAATGAATGAATTATGTTTGTTGATCGATTGGTCGGTCGGTTGGTCGGTTGGCAATCCTGGAATTTCACCACGCGGTAAACGGTTTCGACCGTTATTTGGTAACAAAAACAAAAAAGAGAGTGACTTGGAATGTCGAGGAAAGCAAAGAGTCGAAAGGTGAACATAAAACTCGCATTAGGGATTCCACAGACAAACAAACAAACATTAAAACAAACCTTTTTGTAGTATGAATGGTTGTAATTGTGAATTTGTTGCAATGAGCGAAAAGGTAAAAAGGTTTCCATTGATATTATTACTATTATTATTATGAATTGAATCGTACTGGCGGACTCGAGCGACCTTTTTGGTCATTTTGTTGTTCGTGTCGTCGTCGTCGTCGACTTAATTTAAGTGCTTCTTCCAAGTCCATTGTGCGTCGTTCAATTGTCTGCTATATTTTACCGTCAGATTTATTTTCTCTCTCTCTTTCTCTCTCTTACTAAAATGAAGAAGAATAAGAAGAAGAAGAAGAAGAAGAATTCAATTTTTTATCTACGACCCAATTACGGTCGAATAAAATTTATGTGTCTGTTCGATTAACGAAAAAAAAATTTTTTTTTTTTTTTTTCATTTTTAAGCGAGAAGGTCGAACCATTAAAATAATAATAATAATAAAATGTAAAAAAACGAAGGTCGCGAAGTAGAAGGAACGCGGTTGGAATAATATCGAATAATAATAATAATAATAATAATAATAATGAAAACTTTTTTTTTTTTTTGTGAAAAACGACGCACGCACGAACGAACGCGTCGAAAGAACAAAAAGAAAAAGCTCACGCAAAACAAAGAGTAATAATAATAATAATAATAATAATTACGGTAAAATGTTACTTTCGTTATCATCATCATCATCATCATCATCATCATTGTTTTTTTTATTCGTAAAGTTAAAGTTAAAAAAAAAAAAAAAAAATGCAAAACGTGCGGTTTATAAATAGGAAAATAAAAAAAATAAAAAAAAAAATTTTTTTTTTTTTCGGAGTGATTGAACTTTTCCCCCCGGTCACGATGTCATTTGCACTCACTTTTTACTGTTAAAGAAAAAAAAAAAAAAAACAAGTTTTAATTCATTAACGACGATACGTATAACTTGATACGATTATCATCATTATTATCATCATCGTCATCATCATCATTATTATTAACATCATCATCGGTCGTTGGAAAGACTAAGTAAGGTACTGACTGTCGTCGATGCGAAATGTGACGATGTGCTTTATGCGTTAGCGATGGTGATGACGATGATGACGTAGATGATGACGATGACGGTGACGTAGATGGTGATGGTGATGATGACGTAGATGATGGATTCGAATAAGGGAGTTCGATTGCAAAAAAATTTGATTTTTTTTGTTTTTGTTTTCAGTTAATTTGACGGGAGTCGGACGTGTGGACATGTCAAATTTCGAATTGCTGAAAGTCTTGGGAACCGGAGGTAAGTTTTCTTTTTCTTTTTTTTTTTTTTTCTCTGAAGAGGAGGGAGGGACGAAAGAGGAATTGGGGGAATGGGAGATTCGGGGAATTCCGCAGAAAAAAAAAAACGATTAAATCCTTGTAAAATTTTTACATATAATGTGTGAAAAACGTTCTTCTCCTTGACGAAGGAAAAAAAAAGAAAACGGAAGTAGTCACGTTTTAAATTGATAATAATAATAATAATAATAATAATAATGCATGAAAAATATAAAAAGAAAAATAAAAAGTCATTTATTATTATTATTATTATTAAAGGTCTTTAGTATTAGTAGTAGTAGTCAAGGTTGAGAATTTGTTTGTTTGTTTGTGTGCTTTGCTTTTTTTTTTTTTTTTTTTAAACAATTCAAAAATCGAATCCGTTCGTCTGATATAAATGATGATGAAATATATTTATATATATTTTAAAACGAACGGATGTGAAAGAGAGCCCCCCGCCCCCCGGCAAAAAAAAGTACGAGAAAATTATTATTTATATTAATAAAAACGTCGTTACGCGAACGTTAACAGGAGAAGCAGAAGAAAAAGATGACAAAAGTTGCAGTTTAGCATTTCGATCGTTTATTGTGTAATGATAAGGTTATGATTATCGTAGGACGTTGACACGGACGAATGTCCCTCTCCCCCTCCCACCCTTCCCCCCGCCGCCTACAGGAAAATTATCATTTTCCTATACCGCGTTCGTGTGTGCCTTCTGTCGTCAGGTGTTTGTTGTTGTCGTCGTCCAAAATGGAAGATTCTTTTTTTTTTTTTGGAAAAAAACCGAAGGCGGCAGTGTAGAAAATGAGCGTTGGGTATTTTTATCATCATCATCATCATTATTATTATCATTTCGTTTTTTATTTTTTTAATCAGAAAATGATGGTGGGTAGAAAGTTTGCGAAAGTGAAAGTGAAACGAACAAAAAAAATTAAATTAAATTCACTTCAAGCCTCGCGGAATGATGATGATGTGATAATAATAAAAAATACAAGCATGAATTATTTAATTCGTTGGGGGGGGGGAGAAGAGAGATAGACGTTAGAGTTTTTGAACGGTTCGGTAGGTCTTTTGAAAAAACCGTTATTTAGAAAAACTAATGCCACGATCGCTACCGTCGCAGTCATCGCGACCGCCTCCACAAACGCGTGATAGTTTCCGGTTTGTGGATTTAATTTTAAAAAAATTTTGTGAACCTTCGATTTCAGTCAGTCGGTTGTATAAGACCGTTCTCTCTCTCTCTTTCTATCTCTCTCTCTCTCTCTTTCTATCTCTCTCTCTCTCTCTCTCTCTCTCTCTTTCTCATTCATTCATTCATTTATTCAATCGATCGTGAAAGGGGTTCAAAAGTTAAAAGGAAGAAGAAGCAGAAGATGGAGGAGGTGGAGAATGTAGAAACGTTTTTGTTTTTTTTGTATGTCGGTTGTTTCTGGAGAAGGAAGAATTTGGGGACAGAAGGTGGTGAGTTTTTTCAACAGAAAAATGGGGGGAGGGGGGCGGGAGTCGAAACCCGATGACGACGACGTCTTTTGTCTTTTTTTAACTCGAATGGGGAGAAGGAGTTGAAAGTTTATTTTTTTTTTTTTTTAAGGGGAGAACGTCGAAATTTCAAAAAAAAAAAAAAAAATTTTAAGCATTTTTGTTTTTGATTTCCTTTCGTTGTTCTCACTCCCCGCTGTTTGTTGGTTGTTTGTCTGTTGTCGCGTTCGTTTTCGCCCCCCTCTTCCCTCTTCTTCCCTCCTATCTCCGCCCTCTATTGGGGTATACCAAAATCTAAACGTTGATCGTGATCGGTATTCGTTCGTCTACGCGCGCTCTCATGCCGTTCAGCGTTTTCTTCTTGTCGTTTTCGAACGCAAAAAAAAAAAAAAAAACGTGGAGCGAACGTTTATTGCGTTCGGTGCACGTATTAAAGGAAAAAAGAAAGAAAAAAGTTTGGGTCATTTTTTATTTTCTTTCTTTCTTTTAAATTCTGCCTTGAAAAGTATCGAATTGCGCATTGCGTGTGTAACCTTGTGAAATTTTTTTTTTTTTTTTTTGTTTTCTGGTGTCGAATTATTATTGACTTTTTGTTGTTTTTTTTTTTTTGATTCGAAATCATTTTTTCAATCGAAAACAATGTGACACGTTCACTATTTACACGTCGTTTTTATAAATTAATTATTAATTAAAAAAAAAAATAAAAAATTACGACGACGCGCGTTCGACCTTTTTTTTTGTTGTTGTTGTACTCTAAGAATAAGGATGATGAACGGATTTGATTTCTTTTAATAAAAAAAAAGGGGGGGAGGAAGGGAAACGATTCGTTTATTTAACGAGGAAGAGGGATTCGTTTATTTTTTTAAATTTCGGAATCAGGTACGATGATGATGATAATGATAAAACGGGGTAGAAGGAAATATTTCAAGCGTTTTTTATTTTTTATTTTTTCCTTAAAAATTTTTTTGACACGAAAAAGAAAAAAAAAATGACGAAATTCAATTTTTGCAGCGTGACGTGAAATTTTTTTTCCCTTCTCTCTCTCTCTCTCTCTCTTTTGCACTGACACACGCATTTATTCATCTCTCTCTTTCTCTCTCTTTTTACCCCGGAAAAGGTTAAAGGATTTTTTCCTTTTTTTTTTTTTTTTATTACTTCACGGAGGGATAGGGAATTAAATAAATGGAGCAAATTTTGAAAATGTAAAAAAAAAAAAAAAACGAATGGACAGAAGGAGAAGAAGAGAAAGGAGGGGAAGAAGGAGAGGATAAAGAAGAGGAGAGGAAGGAAAGAAGAAGAAGGAGAAACAAAAAGAGAGAAAGAAAAAGGCGAGAGAGAAAAAGTTTTTAAAATAAAGTTTTTATAACAAATTTGATAGTAGAAAGTTTTTTTTTTTATTTTTATCCCGATTTGTGTTGTTTTTTTTTTTTTTTTTAAGTTGTTTCGTGTGTAGCAGACGAAATCGGTTTTATTTTCAAATGTAATAATCTCTTAATTAACAAAATTATAGAAAGTGTTGTTGTTGTTGTTTGTTCGTTGAGTTTGTTCGCTCTCTTGTTTTCTATCTCTTTTTAAATAAAGATAAAAGACAATAAAATGAAAAGTAAAGTTGAACAGATTATAAAGTTTTGTTTTTTTTTGTTTTCTTTTTTTTCAAAAAAACACAATAAAACAAAGAAGGTTTAAAACGTTAAAATAGGAGAAGGAGGAACAGATGAAGAGGGGGTGAAAAGAGGAGGGGGAGGGGAAAAGGAGAGACGTGAAAAAGGTCGAAAAAAAAGAACGAAACCGTAAAAACAAAAAAAAAAAATTTGCCGAAAGTTATTATTATTATTATTATCATCATAATTTTCATTTTTTTTGTTTTTGTTATGTTGCACACCTTGTTTTCAGGTTTAGCATTACATTTTTGTTACGAGATCGAAGGGAAACGAATGAAACGTTATTCACTTGAATTTTGATACCGGAAATCATCGCGCATAAAATCATTATTTTTTTTACTTCACTTAATGTTTTATAATTATAATTAATCGTAATAATAATAATAATAATAATAATAATGATGATGATGATGATAATTACGATGGTAATGAGGAGGATGAATAATAATAATAATAATAATGATAATTAATTAATTAATTAATTAATATCACCTGAGATGTGACCAAGAGATGCGTCTGTCGGTCGCGGCGGCATCTTTTTAATATACTTTTCCGAAAGTCACCGCGAAGAGTCACGTTCTTCGATGCGAAAGGGTGGAGGGAAGTGGGAAGAGGGGAAGGGTTAAGGGTCACCCTTTCGCGAATTTCGATGGATACGGACGGAAACGTGACACTACCACTACCATCTGATTTAGCGAAAGAAAAAAATTATTTTTTTGTTTTTGTTTTTTTCTGTCACATTCCAAACACTTGTGTCATAGCCGTGGTGAACGATTATGACGATGACGACGACGACGTCGACGACCGACATAACAATCATCGTTGAACGTTTTAAATTTTACAAAAATTTTATAAAATTTTTCTGTAACATTTTTATTGTTAACACAATAATGGCGTTTGATGAAAGAGGGTTTGTTCAGGTACTTGATATTTTTTTTAAATACGTTTAAAAGGTCGTGACGTCTTTTCATTCGTTATTATCATTATTATTATTATTAGGGCAGGTCGACGTGGAATCGAAATCGATTTTTTTTTTTTTTAATTTTCGAAAGCTTATTTGTCTCACCACACACACGCACACAAATGGCGCCGCACTGCACACGTTAATCTGATAATGACCGACGAGGAATCAAAGGATTTACGGAGCTCAAACATCGCAAATCGGGAAAAAAAGGAGGAGGAGGAGGATGGTGATACGTGCGACAACGACAAACGACGGAGGTCAAAGACTTGTGCAAACGATTTCGAAAATAGCTCGTTGTTTTTTTTTTAAAGATGGAAATTTTTTTTTTTTGTTTTCCAAAAACAAAAACAAACAAACAAACGAGAAATGAAACAACGCGAAAGGACACACGGTCGACTACGCGTAAAAAGGCCGTTGAAAAAAAAAAGTTACGACGACGAGAAATGTTGAAAAAATAATTAGAATGCATTCACACGCCGGAAAAGAAGGAAAAGTAATAAAAAAAAAACGTTCGGTACTCTACCTCCATTCCTGCCAACCTTTCCGATCGTGATTGTAAAAGGCCCCGTGTGTGTGTAAGTGCGCGCGCACGTTTGTTTTTAAAATTTAAAAAAAGAGAAAGAGATAGAGATAGAAGAAAACAAAGCAAAAGATAAGTTTATTATTATTATTATTATTATTATTATTATTGTGTCCTTCTTATTATAACAATCGGATAAATAATCATTTTATTATTATTAACTAAGGACAATCGTGGAGTAGTCGCGGTAGTAGTAGTAGGGGGGCAGAAAAAAAAGAATCCGTCGAACAAAAAAAAAAATTGCACCGAATCGAAATGAAAGAAAAAAAAAAATTTTTTTTTTTTTTTTTTTTTTGCGT